ATTTTTGTTTGAAATAGAAAAGTACTTTAACGGTCAAACTCATTAGTCCAAGGCAATATCAAAAAGTACCTAATAACTACGGCGATAGAATTTAATTACATGTGCTTCGATATTAAAATTAAAAAGTTAAAATATCAAAAAAAAATATTGGCTTGGGATTTGAACCGCCGACCTTACGTACCAACGGCGGCGAACGGTAAGGCCACGAGACCAAACTAGAATATATGATAACAAACTTAAATTTGATGTTGGTTTTATCTACCTAATATCTGTCATCCGCGACGAACACTTTTAGTAAATTTTGAAAAATGGTTTGATGCAAAGTGTCAAATGAATTTAACACAAGTAGTTTATTCAAAATTGTACTACAAGTGTATAGAGATAGAGTTCAATTTTGTCAAATGTTACGATCTTTTTGCGCATCTTGACTGCTTCGTTACTTATGACGCTGTGGCTGCTACGATATTTATGAGCACCTTGCATGTACTCATATATTTGACGCTGTGTATGTACCGATGTATTTGAGCAGGGTGAATGTATCTATTAATTTGAAGACTTTTGTTGTACCGATATAATTGATTACTTTTGATGTACCTATATATTTGCATATCTTGTCTGTGTCGATCTATATGACGCTGACTGTACAATCATAGTTAGTCATTCTGTTAGCCGGGCAACGACATAAATTAGGCTTACATCTTGATGATTGGGCTGATTGGCAACGATGCAGGTGGCCGGGGACGAGACGATCGATCCGCTGTCCGTCAGCAGACGGGCAATTAGCTGCATTGAGAATGTGACATCAGTTGAACTGTCTGCGAGGCCACTTAGCGACTCAACGTTACTAGCTAAGCGTACTCATAAGTCCTACCCCACCGGCGTACATATTACGTAGAATCTATAATGTTACTAATATTATAAATGCGAAAGTTTGGATGCATGGATGGATAAGTGTTTTGATTCCGCGCGGTCGAAGTCACGGACAACAGCTAGTATTAGATATAAATTACTAATAGCCAATTGCTATTGAGATTCGAGAACTGTAATTCATTTTGTTAAGTATAACAAAAATGTATTTACACTAGCCAAGATCGATCAAATACTTAGCAAATCTTTTAATAACCTCTCAAATAATAATCTCATTTTGCGCACTGTATTCAACTCGACGCGAGTCCAGCGTTATAGCATTATAAGGCTATCGTATGTTATACCCGAGTAGTAATTAACAACAACATAATAAATTCAGAGAATAATTAGTTCCAATTTAAATTCGAAGAGAACTATCTATGGTTGATTCAACAAATATTTAATTCTTGGGACTACAATGTATGAATCGTAAAGGTAGCAACATACTACTGTAATTGAAAATGTTTCTGACGCATACAGGAAAACACACTAGTGTGTTCCGAACATTATCCGAATCAATGGTGTTGGGAAAATGTCGTTTAATAAAAGTTTATCGCGGGCCCTGTGCTGCGCACTCATTGCGATTTATAGCGCTCAAGCCGCGGCATCCGTTTATCAATGCTATATTCATTGCCGCTGCAACGTTCTATAGAGTCGCCATCTATTGTGCACCAATTTATATGTGCTATGTGATTATTCAATTTACGGGCTGAAGTTGAAATTAAACTTCAAATATATTCTGGGATAAAAGAACGTCACGAAAAAACAAAAATTCCTTTAGAACGTTAGTCATTGACTAAAGCTTAAATATTATAGAATAAAGATCAATAACATAAATGTAAGTGAAATTTCGATAGGTGTTACATCTATGACGTTTACTGTAACTACTTAAATAAATTTTAAAAAACTTTTGTTGACTAAAATTAATTTTGATAATATGAAGTTCGGTACCCATCTCCGCATTTTTCTACGAACTGTTTACAAACACCGCGGCACTACTAGGAAACGTTTATTTCATTAACAGAGTCCCGTGATATGGGACTTGTGAGACATCGCTGCGATTTCGTGCAACCAAGAATCTTAAATTTATTTAGAAATCTAATGGACCAAAAAAATCTAACGACTATAATTTATAATATTTCTATGATGTGTAAAAATTTTATTTTTAATTCATTGCTTAATTATTAATATACTACTATATAATATTCATTTAAATGATATTATTTCACATCGTAGTTAAATAAAATTAAATTAATTTTCTCTGAAATTTAATCTATCTTGTAACAGTGGTAGAGCCCGCTTTAACATCTTCGCACGAATCGGCCCGGCTCGCCCGGTGAAATACCACGACCACACAGAAGACAGGCGTGAAGTGGAAGCAAATCCGCGTTTAGTCTGATGAGTGTGCGTCCCGGAGGCCAAAATTAGTCCTCTTTCCCTTACCATCCTATTTCTTATAAGGAAAGGATGGGACGTGGAAGTGGACTTTCCGGATGAGAGGATGCATGGAAAGGGAAAATATTTTCTTTCTGTGCATTCTCTCCTCCGTCGATTAAAGGTAGGCAACGCATATGCAATTGCGTATGTCTATGGGCAACGGTCACTTCGCTATTTCAACGATTTCAGGTGGCCGCTCGCTCGTTTGTCACCTTGTGATAAAAAAAAAACAGTCTTAATTGCATCAAAAACTGACAATGTCACTATTAAGATTTTTATTTAACAGTTGATTAGAAAACTAACAATAACCATGTAATTATGTAAAGTAATTATTATTTCATGACAACATGCCAATTGCTTAGAATTTTAATTGTAAATGAGACAATTTTGTACTTATATGGGAAATTTCATTACTCTTATAAGACTCCTTTCATGGGTATGAATATAATAAATGTCATAATCAGTTTATCTCAGGCGATGCATTCACGTTAACTCATCGAATCATTAATTTGATATCACGTAACTGTGAACTCATTGAAGATTTCATTTTTATTAATTTAGATTTGTTGATATTTAAAAGAATTTTTATTTAAAGAAAGATCGTATCATTGACATATTTTGCAGGAACAAAGTTTTATTGTGTTTTTATATTTATTGATACTAATCTTACTATCTTATCTTACTAATATTATAAATGCGAATATTTAGATGGATGGATGTCTGTTTGAAGGTATCTCCGGAACGGCTGAACGAATCTCGATAAAATGAGGCATACATATGTAACATAGTCTAAAGGAACCCATAGGCTATTGATTTTATATTTTTTTTCAATTCCGCACAGGCGAAATCACGCGCGACCGCTAGTTATTTAATTAAAAGTTAGCTACTACACCATTACGACATTAACAATGTAGGGTCGGCGCTAGACAACGTGAGCTAAAAATATAAGACGAAGTTTTATATTGGATTGTTACTTTTGTTGTATTGTAGCGATGAAGAAGTCGTGCAAGCCGGCGATGCTGGGGCGCGTGTGGGCGGCCAGCAGACGTGCACTCAGCCTGGAACACGCGCCGCCACATCAGTTCGCCTGCTGCCAGTGGCAGGCCGGACACAAACCTTCCTTATACTACCTCACATATAGGTAACACAAAGCTACTCACACGATAAATAAGGTCTAATATGTTTTAAACGCAATTCTTGGTCTAAGAAGAAAGAAACCCACAATAAGCCGTTACAAGTAATTTGTCACAATAAACTGAGATGTTTTCTTTAATCAGATGGTTGGTGTTCCTGACGGTGACATCTATAGCGGTGGCGAGCTTCGCGTGCCAGCGTCTGCCGCGACTTTACAAGGGGCCCAAGGTGGAGCTAAACTACTTTAAGTGGTTTATCTACTTCACCAACTGGGGCTACCTCCTGATCGCACTGCAGGCAGCACTCGCCCTCGCCGTTGTACACCGCTACAGAAATGAAAAGAGTCTTAATATTAGTAAGTATTATAAGTTAACTGCTTTACAGTTGTCAGCTCTGGTATGCGATTATATTATTTCTAAAATTATATTCGAATCCATAATCACTAAATGTCAAACTTAGAATTACTTACGGTACGGATTTCCGATCAAGTGCCGCCATTCGACTATTGTCGTAAACCATGTCCACAAGCATATAGCTTAGGTACAAGAAATATTAGTAAATTAACAAAAAATCTACTAATATTTTAATTAGAAAAAAAGAATCTCAGAGAACAGTTATGAATAAGGTAAAATTTTATTTACGACTTTTATAATTCATTGATGAGAGTAGCTAAGAAATGGCAATTTAAAATGATTTACATTAACTCTGATAATTTTTTTGATTTTGAATTAGAAGCTAGATAAAGTCACATGAATGACTTTAATTCACTGTCACGACCATATCTCTTTACGGTCATTAATTGTATTATTTTATGAGTTACCGATAGCACTAATTACATTATATCTAGTTCATAGAAAAGTGTTGCTTATACTGTATTGAAATAAGTACTAGATTGCAGTAAACTCTAAATTGATTACATACGTTAGGGACTTATGGCTCAACAGTTTGACTCCTGGAGTTACGAAGTTAAGGATTATGACTGAAGATTGTTCTAATGAACAAAATGCTTAAAATTTCTGATGATACATCTCTCAAGACACGAACACCCACGGAGTACACAGTTAATGGCTCAGTGTCAAGCATCGCGTGATTACGTCTGTTAAGGTCCTAGAGGAATGTCGACTCGTGTGATACAATTAGCCCCAACTCAGCGTGTGTGCTAATACGGCACTACCGAATGTCGACTGATTCTACATCACGTAAAACACGTACTCACATTTGTAGGAGAATAATTAAACTGTCTATATGTTAGCATCAGTCATCTACAAATCCAAATCTACAAGGATTCTCTAATTATATTTATCTCGATTCAAATGTGATTTATAACTTCTTAATAAATGTGTAATTTTACTGCAACTCACGCAACTGCATCTTTGTTTTGGCGCATACTTGAATGTTTTTCCGTTTCCGTTTGTTTGTATTTACGCGTGCATTGAGCTGCCACAAGCGAGTACGCCTCGTGCGCAATAACACGCGACCTGAGACAAATGACGTAACAGTTATGTTTTTACAATATAAGAAACAATTGACGCCTTCAATTATGAAACAAATAATATTGATTAGGTTAATGTTCGTGTAAGATTGATCTGTGACAATTCATAGATCTTCTATTATTGTGCACGCGTAATTCGGAATCTTTAAGGCATTTTTTTACAGTGTAATTATTGTACAAATAAAATACCATAAAGAATTAAACTCCAGTCAATTAAATAAACATTGTTCACAGCGATGTCACTCAGTCACAATACAACTAGGTTTAGTTTCAAATGCATAGGTTTGTAATAAAGCCTTTAGGTACTGCAAACATTTTAATTCAATGTCAAACGTCCGGAAACAGCGTTACTATACAAAAGTACCGGCAATGTTTCATAGAGCACGAGATCTTAATCAATGTTTACCTTACGTCATTGTGGATATCAAATGGTTGTTACAATTGTACTCGGCTGACGGCCGAGTGTTTTGCTAATCATTTCATTTGAAATTGCATTTTTAAGTACTTAGCAGCTTATGTAATACTTTGAATTTAATATTGAATTTCTAATACTTTATAGCTATCGTGGAATGCCCTGCCTAGGGCAGTAACTCACCGGTCAGTCTGCGCCCACTCTATCGTTCCAACCATAGGGGACGCCGGGTCACGCACACTTGATTGATACAATTTCGCGTCAATTAAACCGACCGAGTGGACCGTCATCCGCTACAATTATCCTTATTGGTTCCCCATTCTTGTCATTGACGTAGATAAACGGACCAATATGTTTCGATACGAACGCCAATTGCCATTACGAGCCGCTTTGAACGGCTTCCGTCTATTTGTCGTTCAAACTTCAACTCGAATTTCTTACTGACATGGTATCTAATTTTAACATAAGCAATTATATACACTTTTATTATCAATTGTGTCGTGTATCCCAAAAAAGAAAAATAACTAGAATTTAAAGCAACATCTCCTAACACGACAATAATCCACGATTGCAGGTTGCGATGATGACGAGATCCAGATGCCGCGTCGTCAGAAGACGCCGGTGCTGTGCCGTATGTACTGGCTGGCGCAAACTGTCGCCACTGACCTCGCTTTTGTCATCACGCTCGTATACTGGACGCTTGTGCATGACCCTAGTAAGTTTTAAAGTGTGTTAGTTTCATTGCGATTATTTTCACATCTAATTTTGATAGATTTAACTTTAACAAAATCAATTACGATTTAGGAACTTGACACTAATATTTTAATAACTCTAGGAATACACGAGATAAACGCGCTGAACCTGTTGGTACACGGCGGCAATTCGCTGGTGATGTTGGCTGAGCTAGCGGTGACGGCGCACCCGGTGCGCGCCGCTCACGCTCTCTACGGCGCCGGCGCCGGCCTCGCCTATGGCCTTTTCAGTGCCCTCTACTGGGCACTTGGTGGCACCGACCGCCTCGGACTGCCCGCTATATACCCAACCTTAGATTGGAATAAACCTGGTATGTGAAATCGACTGTCGCTAAGTACACTGTCGAAATTGAATAATGACAATTTCTGACATCTTCTGTTGAAGGCTTAATGTAGATGAAACTAATGTACACTTTTAATATTTTCAGGGTCTGCGTTCGGTTTTGTAGCGCTATGTGCTGTGGTGATGATGTTTGCGCACGGCGTGGCGACGTGCCTAGCAGCGGTGCGCGCCCGGGCAGCCGCGCGACTGCGCCCCGCCGCTCATGACCGTCTCGCCCTGCCCGCGCACTGAACCAACACGCATAAGGATAATAAATAATACATCTATAGAAGTGATCATTATCCTCGAACTAAAGTTAATTGAGTCTGCACAAAGCTGTTACATCGTTTCAAAATGAGTACCATGGACTCGCTTGTATTGTACTTTCACCTGCAAATAACAGCGCCTGATGAAATGCAAGTGGCAAAAATAAATCATCTGAATGATATGTTTTAGTGTGCGTGTTTCGGCAGTGTATACACACGGTGTTATATACATCTGTAGTGGTAACAGCAGAGTGCAGAGAAGACATTGTATAGATCCACGGCTTAAGTCATGCACAAAGTTTCACTTCTAATTTCTAATATTTATTATTCTTATGCTCGAAGTGTTTAATTATAAGTAAATATAGATGTGTTCTATATACGTAGCGCGATGTGATTTCAATTATATAAGTGTAAAATAATGCACGTTTATGTAAAATGCAAGCTGGCATATTGCAAAAGGACGCATGGATGCATGTTATGGTAAACTCAGTATTATTATTTAGAACAAAAGATAAAAAGTGATATTTTATTTCGAAATTTTTAGATGTCTAATTTAATTATTTTCTACATTTTAACTAAAAATGTGATATAAATTCACCTCCTTCATCAATTATGATTTAGAGAATCTCATAAAGCACTAATCTATCGATACCTTAGAATGTTATACCAATGATTATTTTAAGTCGAAAAATATCATGTGAAAAATGGATTTTAATTACTTTTTTCTTATCAGATCCTACAAAATATCTTCAAGTTATTATACTTTTTTTATACTTTGAAATTTACGAATGTTATCGTAATTTTTAATTTGTCTAAGATTAAAAACTTTTTATTAGGATCCAGAGTGCGAAGTGCCAGTAGTCTATTTCTACTAAAATCGTTTGAATTTCCACTTGTATGTAATTAAATGGATAGGATTTTAAGTTAAAATAAATGGTATTGTTCCTAGCCTAATGAGATATTTAGGCGTCATGCTGTGATCAGAGCATCATTTAGCTTTATATAGCTCATTGTAGAACATTTTTGTGATCTTGAGAGCAATAATGACAAATCCAAAGATTTTAATACATTATTACTGTAATTTCACTATAAAATCTCAAAAACAGTATAGACCTGGACTCATTGAATATTAAAGAAAAACTATGATTAATATTCATTTTAAACAAATTCCATTTTTAAAATTTTTGTGGCTGCATCCCAGTAGTACCTTTACCTCATACTTATAGTTCAATAGATATGTTAGGATGTTCACATTGCTTTCAAATGTTATCCTAATAGTTCTATATAGTACTATAGTATAATTGTTCCTCTTGACTTTATAAAAATATAAAAATTAAAAACTTCATATTTAAACTCAACTTACAAACAAAAGAAATCTTCAATTTAAATGTACATTTATAATTGCAATCAAAAGTGATTAAATTATTCAAACTTTCGTGAGACATTATACTAAACTGATATATAAACATGGCTAAACACTCACGTATATTCGTCCGGTGGCGGCACCGACTAGTTTCGAGCCCATCGGGGGCCCTTCATCAGGATGAGTGGTACTGGTATTATTTCGCGGACGAGGCCCGTCACTCACTGACTGACGGGCGACGGCCACTGGGTATATACGTGAGTGTTTAGCCGTGTTTATATATCAGTCAAAAGAGATTACATTATACTTATTAAAAGTAGGTTTTTATAACGTACGGACAAGATGTTGCTTGTAACGACATAAATTTTGTCTCATTAGTACTATATAATACTGATGGGATTCTAAACACTAATTTGAGGCCTGAACATTTTTAAAGAACCACAGGTATGGTACAATTGTGATGGTACTACACGCATTTTACTGTATCTTGTATTTATATCATTAGAAATAGTAATTCAAAAGCAATACATTGTTAAATCATATCATAAAAACATAAGCTAATGGCTTTTTAAAGCTAATAAATATAATTTGTATAAGTTAGATCTGATTTGAAAATGTTATAGTATTAATAATCTATTATGGCATTTACTTAAATGTATAAGTATGGAATAAGCTAAATAAATATACGATAAGCTTAATTAATATTTACTCTTGATATTTGAGTATAAATAAAATTGTTTAGCAGTGATATTAAAATTGTGTTTTAATATATTTACAATTTTAGCGAGTATACACACTTTATAGATACAGGTTTTCCTTGAAATCGATGTGACAAATAATTGTTGAAATAAACGTTTCTGTTTAAGTAATATTTAAAAGCGCCTGTTAAAGTTTTGTATTCAAATTGCAGGTTGTGAAAACAACCGCTGATATTTTTGAAGTTAACGGTTGATAACTTTAAGACTTCAAGTTGGAGTAAAGGAGTTAATGGTTGACAGAGTATAAAAAGTCATTTCAATGTTTAAAAAAGTTACTAAAGGCATCATTAGTGGATCCTTTTATGCCTTTATATCCTAAGAGATGTTGAGATATTCACTTAACTTCAATCGTAATTGAAAGAAAAAGACGTGATTTAACAATATTGTATCTAAACTCCCAACACATAAAAAAGATAAAAAAACTAGTTTAATTAACATAATTAATCCGAGCAATAAATAAAACATAAAACTGCTTAGCGAATACGCAGATTAGTGAGTAGCATACGTGTGAAAATCAGCTCTAAACCGGTTCAATAGATCAGGACCCATAGACATCTACCATTTAACAACGCCTCAACAAATAAATTGGCAGCTTGCGGCTCAACGCGATCTACTATAAGTATTTGAATCGATGAGCCGCAAGCCAACTGGTGAGTCGCAGAGCATTCAATCAGGCGCTCGCGACTTTGGAATCGTTAAAGCAGACAGCGCGTCCCTTGGTGACGATGCTGTCCTTTGACTCGCAGCTCAAAACGCATATCATAACTCTAATCAGGTACAAAATGAGCTGAACTGCGAGCCTGCACTGCTCTGTTTCACATATGAGAACCGTGACCTGATCTGCAAGTCATTTTAGCCGAGTTACCCATGACAACTGGTAGGATACGTTGATTAATATATTATGTAAGACGTCGCCGCGCTGTGAATTAGGTAAATTATCCAGTTGACCTATTTGGGCAACTTATTTCCAACTCAGACGCTATAAAGCGTGAGAATTTATGCATTGGCGTCTATCGCGTATTGTTTTCGTGTTAAAAATGATATCTATAATAAATGAAAGTTTATTTAAAATTTAACAAAATTAACAAAAAACTATATTAGAAACGTAGACTTATTTAAAAAAATCGTGAAGCTTAAACCACTATAGCTAACAAAATATACAACTTTTTATATTGTTAACCAAGTTCTGGTATGAATTATAATCGTATTTGCACTCAAGGGGCTCTAAGCATGATAATATTAAAGAACAAATGTCTCAATACATTACGCCACAATCAGATTAGCAATTGAAAATCAATTGTTCTTTGTTCCTATTATTAGTTATGGAGATAAAATTACCAAAGCATGCTATTACATCCTCACAGCATTGTGTATCATAAATAATTTATTTGCATAATAACATGAAAATTTCACATATTATACTAACGATGGATTAAGATAAAGTTAGGCATATATTTACAGACTTATAAATTCTAGCTTGTTGTCTGTCTGTTGCATAAAATAATATTAATATTATTGTCTCTAGGACGGTTTTTATTTTAATAAAAGATTAAGCAGCTAATATTAACAATGGCATAATAGCTGGTCGACGGGATTTAATGCGCTCAACCAAAACGTATTTAGGGCACGTACCCATACGTGACCCGTTTAGGGCGGCGGTGGGGAGCCTCAGATTTTATTCACGTAGTCGTTAGTTGTTATTTTTCATAATACATAATTCTTTAGTAATTTAAGTATGCATGCAGTCTTATGCTATAAAGAAGAGTATGAGCCAATTTTTTTTTTAATTCTTGCCTGTGAAATGATTAAAAATCATAATTTTTTCGGCATGAGTGAAAACTAAAAAAATAGGTCACGTAGTATGGGTATGTGCCCTTATATCATTTATCCTTACTCCTATCTTCTTAATTACATAATATATTAAGTAATAAAACCCTTAGTTAAGCTTGTGATACAGGGGCATGATAATTATTTAATTACCTCGCTTATTTATCTTTATTTATAAGTCATTGAAGATCAATTAACCATTTTATGTGCAATATTCAAGTAACAGAATGATGTGTGGCCTTGGGTAATTAGCCCATAATTCTCAAATGACACTGAAGGTGGACAATGATAAAACTAAATAGTCTGTAGCTATTGAAATTGATAAATAAATAAATGGTAATACTTTTTAAACATATTATAGCATAGCACCTTTCCTCACGAAGAGCATTGGAACAACAAAAGCAAACTTACCAAAGAAAATATCAAGAAAATTTTTAAGGTTCAGCTTACTTTTATAATTATGCAGCTGGAAAACCAAATGAAATACTACGATTATTTTCCTTTCTGGTTTTCCCCGTTTAAAATCACATCCTTAGCAATTATAAGTACAGAGCAGGTAGTGCGTGAAGGTGTCTCAGACCTTGATCGCCAGACCGCATATCGGTACCCAGCATCCGTACCGAGGCGCATCACTAGCTCGGCTTGCGTCCAGTCCACCACCGCGCTTCGACACGCGCGCACGGCACAACACTAGCTCAAACAAAGCGCGCTTAAATACGAAATTAGTGATGTCGTTTAATTAATTTCAAATCTATGTAAAAATAAGTGCAGTGTAATGTATAATGGTGGGTACAGTTAGCTAGCGTAACATTGTGAGTTAAATAAAATAAAAAAACAAATAATAAAAATTTACATAAAACAAGTAAGTAATATAAGAAATTTACGTTACATATTACTGATTTTAATGCCTGGAATTATACATCTTTCTATCACTTTTAAAGTTACTAAGCGTCAACACCAAACGTTTACATGATTTTCGAAAAGAAAATCGATTTGAGACAGATAATATAATATAATACAATAAAACGATCATATGTTGCCGTAAAAACGAAAAAATACGACAAACGAGGAAATTCCTAAACGTTGCACTTAAATATTACTAGGTAAAGATATTAATTAAATATGACTACTACTAATGTGAGGTCGAACCAACGTAATAATAACATTTTTATGTTATTACACACCAAAATAATCATCATTATTTAAATATTTTATCATTGTCCTGATCGGTGAAGCAATCTATATAGTTCTCTAGCAATGTACATTGTCTTCGCTTCCTAAAATCTACTTTAAGAATTTGCGTTAATCAGCCATAAAATAATTATATTAATACCGGGTGCATACAATGTATTAGAACCTGGCACATTACCACATCGTGTACTAATCCGGGATAGGTCTTGGCAGGCTACACTGTATTCATAACCTACATCACATAAGTTCCTCATTCTATTAATAATTAAATTCATTCTTAATTTTGCTATTTTAAAATAAATATTTCACACACACGTTTCCTATCTTGATCTGAGTTCTAATAAGTCAAATTATTTAGAAAATAAGATGTTAGAATCGTCATACTAATCTTACTATAATAATATTATAAATGCGAATGTATGGATGGATGGATGTTTGTTAAAAGGTATCTTCAATACGCCTCGTCGAATCTCGATGAATTTTGGCACAGAAGTAGATCATATTCAGGAAGAATACCATCACCATCGGCTCCCTTTACGCCCCCACCGAGGGGCTCCCAGTAACCTAACCTAACCTACCCTACGATAAGGTGTCATAGAAGAATATATAGGCTACTAATTTAGTTTTTTTTACTACAACGCGGACGGAGTCGCAGGCTACAGCTAGTTAAAAATGAAATACAAAATCTGGAGACAGAGTATAATAGTGTCGCGAGACATAAATATGATATATCCAGTTATATGGCGTGACCTGTTTACGAAGTAAATTAGGGCGTTTTTAAAGAGTACTCCGAATATGACCTGACGATTATTTATTGTTACGTTTAGGGAAAAGATGGCAAATTACTAAATTTTAAAATTATTTTTATTCAATGTCAAGGTTTCAATTATCAAGGCGTCAATTTATTTAAAGCTTGTTAAACAATTTCTATTATTTCATTAATATTACTCATTCCTATACTCAGTACAGTATATTTACATATTTTATTAAAATGTATATGAACAAAATTAATTATGTATTTATATAAACAGTGTTACACAATAACTTGATATTTTACTTAAGTTACCAAATCAAACCTGTTGGATTGTAATTTACTTAACATATTTAAAGATAACGTTATAGGACCAGGCAAGGTTATGGAAGTTTTTTAATCAGATCAATGTTAGGGCACGTGTTAGCAACTTTAGATGGATGGATGTTTGTTAGAAGGTATCTCTGGAACGGCTCCACGGATCTTTATCAAAGGCGTAGATGTAGAACATAGTCTGGAAGATCACATGCTACTAGTTCTTTTTTTAATACCGCGCGGACGGAGTCAGCGACAGATAGTGGGGAAATCTTATATATATAAAAGAAATTTGTGTTAGTTACACTATTTATAACTCAAGAACGGCTTTACTGATATGGTTGAAAATTGGTGACGAGATAGCTTAGAACCAGGAGACCGACATAGGATTCTATTTACTCATTTTTTTTTTCGAATTTATGCCTTGAGGAGCTGCTTTTATTTAACTTATCTATATATTATAATAGGTTTTTTATATATCCAAGTGGACGGAGTCGCGGGCGACAGCTAGTAATTGTTAAAATCAAGATAGCATATCTCTGAGCCTTGACTTAGAATGGAGTTTAAATATAAAGATAATTATGCTATATGTGCCCGTTATGACTTTAAAAATAAATTTCGTTTAAAGATGCACAACAAGTTCACAACGTATACTCGTATATTATTATTGTCTATATTCTACTTTACTTGATAGAAAAAAATAAATAATTACACACCAGCGTAGAATAATAATGAGAAAAAATTACTAAAGCGCTTATAGATCATATGCGTTGAGATAAAATACACTTTTTAACCGACACTTTTGTTTGGCAATGTATTTTCTCAGACCAAAAAAAGGTTTGGTCGAGATAACGACTTGCAAAAGAATAGTCTACTTCCCATGGCAAGGATACAGTGACAAAATAAATAGTACAGTAAAGTTGCACCAACGTGACTTGGAAAATTACTTCATTTACATCTATTGTAAAGAAAAATGGCAACTGTAATAATAACAGAAAAAGTGTCTTTTGTATGTATAAAGCTAAGTTAACATTACCTTCAAGAAGCGAGCATATCACCATCTCAAAGGCCGGCAACGCATCTGGGGTTCCTGTGGTCTTGCAGATGTCCAAGGGCGCCGATGAACACCTTGTTGTTCCCGCTGCTTGTTTGCCTCTACTCTTATAAAAAAATCTCTTAAAACTTATTTTAATTGTGTTCTTTTATTGATTACAATTTTTCGGTTCGTGTAAATTATGCAGTAATCATTAGACAGATGCGGTATTTAGTGAAGGGAAAACAAATAACGCGTATTCCTCGTTTTCTAAAGCCGTGAATTCTTAACTGCCCGCACGAGCGTGCGATCAGGCGCGCTGCATCCGCGCTGCGATGACCATGTGCGTTATTATTTATCGTATTTAAGATTTTATATTTTACGTTTATGTATTTTTTGATGATAAACAATAAGTACTATTTAAAATTGTGTAATATTTATTTATAGTAATTAACGTTACACAATCTAAGTAAACAAATACTCATAGTTACTGCCTGTTATCTTGCAATCGCGTATACCAATGCTAGAAACCATTTTAATACCTAATGTAGCTTTAGAAGCAAATTAAGAAAATCCTACCGACGTCGATAATAACAGATGCGGCATTTGATAATTACCAAAATTAAATACCATTTAAGATTTCTTAATTCAAGTGAAAATCCTTGAAACAAAGATCTGGGAGCCTTGATTATTATAAGAAGTTTGCTAGTACTGTCTATTCACCCTGTTATGGCACAGTCGTAAGATATTAGCGATATTCATCAATTGGTTGCATGAACAACATTCACGTGTGAATTGACAAGAGGGGCGAGGAGTATTCGCAATAGATCAACCGTCTGTTACTTGGGAAGGTCAAGACCGTGTCTGTCGTGTACGTGTCAAGTGAAGCTAAACAACGTTATAAATTATTTCACAATATAATATATCACTTGTAATAAGACTGTAGAATTAATATAAGAGTAAACATTTTGTATTCTAAGACGGCAAAAGAGCAGGCAGGTTAAAAAATTAAAAAATATACATATAAGTTTACGTAATTTAAACCTTTTAACTATCTCGATGTATTGATTGTAACTAGAAAAATCTAGTTTTATTTAACGTTTACTCTAACAAATAATTTTATTAATGGAGTTAATTTTAACTTAAAGGTTAATACTAGGGTTGACAAACCCTTTAAGCGCCGCAAGGGTTTTTTGACCCGATGACTAACACGACATTTACGACAAATTGTGTTAAAGTTAATTGTTTTAAATTTATGTTTGCATGCGACAAACAAGACGTCGAAAGTGCTTTAAATGTTTTCTCTATTGTATTTAAACCATTTAAGTGCTAATTGTTAGTGTCGTAACGTTGATTGTAATTCAAAATACAGTTGTTTAAGTTAATATTATTAAGAGAAGACACGTTTTATTTTGTAACAAACTAAATATTAAAATTAAGTAAAATTGTCTGATTTAAGTCGTCTGTGCGTAGACATTATAGTGTCCCCGGATTGGTTGTATTTTTATTATTAGCATGCGATATTCAGATTCATCCGAGCGTCATCGCCAGGCACAAACAACTTATTCTTGATACAAAAGTAACCTTGTAACTTAATTATTTTGTCTCGCCTTTCAATTCCGGGTAATCCTAGGATTCGATTTAAAAGGAGACATACATTTTTATTGTTACGATTTTTTTATAAGTGATACGATTTATTTCTTGTTTCATCTTGTAATGAAATCAACTTTTGTTAAGTTTATGCCATAAAATAATTTAAGAAAAAAAAATCTACTAATAATATAAAATATTATGATTTTCTTCTTAATCTTATTAAATATGATCGATAAACAATATAACATTTATCCTTTTTTTAGTTTTAAATGAATTTTTTATTTTTTCACAGTATCAATGCATCGAAAAGTGAATAAAGAAGCAAACTTTTACTAGTCAATTGGCACCGTAATTATAATAAGTGTAAATATAATTAGAAGAAATGACGCAGTTATCATGGAGACAAAAGGCTGGTTGCTTCTTCGGAGCACTAAAGCCAGGAGACGAAAGGCCAGAGTTATTCGCAAGGTCATGGCTGGGTCTGTGGGCTGTGTACTGGCGCGTTCCCATCTTCCTCTGGTCTCTAATCACGATCATATGGTCGACTGCAGCGTTCTGGGGTTCCGTAGACAAGTATATGCTGTACATGACACACTGGGGATTATTACTAATACTAGTGGAATCCTTCTTCGGTGTTATAGTTGCACTTAAAGAAGATCGTTACTTACCAGGTAACATTTTTTACGTATTAAAGTTACGTACAAGTCTTGTACCACACTAAGTGTGGTTCAAGGTCATGGTTTTAGATGTCTTCGTTAAGTTAGTTTTTTTTTATTTGTTTATTGACTAATTAATTAACAAAAGATGAACGTTCATTTTATTCTCCTTCATTAATTGATTCAATAACCGCGGAGTCTGGCACCAAAATATCTGTGTAAAATATATCATCATCCATGTCACTATCTTTGACAAAAACATATTTTAAACAGGATTTTAGTAATAGAAAGTGTCGATAAGTGAAGTAAGTATAATATTACTTAATGTGGTAAAACGTGAATCGGGTCTTGTTTTCATCTTTAGTATAACTATTGAATATATTTGCTAGCGTTGTTGGTAACTTCGTGTCACGATAAATGTCTTAGTCACAAAAATATTTGTTTTGCTCACAATATTCAAAAACTATTATAAAAAAACACCACTCTGAAGTCTTAAATTTAACTTAGTACAATAGGTGATTTATGGAAATTCTAATTTGATACATTTGTATAGAAACATTATGGTCACATTGACCATAGATGCATGTTAAGCAATCATCTTATAGTGCTGTCTATGACCCTGTGGCTGATGTCATTCATTTGTTATTATTATTATTTGAGAATGAGTTGTTGCAACATTAACATCTCACGTGTATTTACAGCACGTGTTTGCGCTTGCGACATAATTTAAGCTCGAAGTGTCCTTTGTGTAGATGAAACGCAAATACAGTGTACATAAACCTTAAAGTTTATGAACATGTATGGAAAGTTTTTGCATCGCTTAAAATCTTAATTATCTTCTTATAACAAAGATCTTACAAACAATTTTTGCGGTTTTTACCCAAGACAAAATTAATTGAACACACTAAAATCTAGGTTTACCAGAGCCAATTCATACGGACGCTACAACACCTGATTATGGAAGTTTCGTTGGATCTTTGAAGAATGAGAGTGAGTAGAAGAGAATTATTAAAGGAAACAGGATTCATAATATTACCTATTGTTCTGAAATCGATCATCGCATTACTTACTTAACGATGCTTACTAGGTCTTTGTACTAAATACATTGGTGACGGATAATTACTGCATACACTTAGAAAAAACAATGGCTCCAACGTAACAAGAATGCTTATTACTAAAAACCATTGAAATACTAATTCTGCTTTTAAATCAATAAATATAATCCATCGTTGAATACAACAATATATTCAACATTAACTATAAGTTATATTAGATAATAAAGAAGTTTTTAAAACGAAGAATTGAAAAAAAAAAGAAAAAATAACCTCTAATGTTTTTGTAAAGTCAAGGACGCAGCGTCCAAGTTCAACTTGGTTACGTGACCTTACACACCACGCAGAATACGTTATGCAAAAGCACCTAAGGCAACGCCTTTTCTGTGATCAAATGTTATCGATAGTTCGCAACGAAAAAATACAGATTGCACATAGTTTGCATGTTTATGCAAAATATTTTGAGTGTTTTAATTACTTACTTTTATGTATAGTAGCAATAAAACGTACAAAATAGCTTCCTTGACCTAATGTTATTTTTAAAAGGCGCAAGGTTACAATTATTCTAATATATCTTATGGTCACGTTTGTGGTAATTTGCTGCTATATTAATACGCTGAGTTTTTAATGTTATCCATCACACAAAAGAGCACATAGAGCGGTCAGTAAACAAGTACAAAGATGACTTGACTGTCGTATAATTATAGGCTGTGTACTCGGTTTTCCCCCAAAAGCAAAGCAAATGATAAAGTAGTTTCTTAACATTCCCTTTATTGTCAATGTTATAAATAATATGAAACGACATTCGCATAGGATCTTTTTTAATAAGATTTTGTTTTTTTTTTAAGGAAATGTAAATAGAGTGGCAACATTTTATTGAATCAAAATCATTGTTTAATGAATAAGGATGGTTTTTTTAATGTTTGCGGAAATATGAAGATATTTACTGTGTTACACAACCTATTGTCTTAGTATAAATATTTCTAGATTGTTTACTAATTTATTAATTTCCTAAGTAAAGGTAACATAATTATTATATCTATAATCTTAGTGAATAAATCTCGATTATTCAAAAAGAAAATCTTATCATCTTAGACTTTAAATCTGACAAAAGGTATCATGTTTACATCAAGTGCATACAAATGTCAGTATATTAATACTTGCGCACGATTTTCCTCAGTAATGATAATGGTTTAAACATTCAGAAAAATTATGTGTTGAAAGAGCATATAACTTTTTAACAGTAAGATGATTTTGCAATACATTTGACAAGTTAAACGATTTCCAGTAATTAAATATAAAAAAAAAACAATTAAACTGAATCTGTAGATTAACTTCGATATTTGCATGCCATAAAGTAATGTGTACTAACAATTTTAACACTTGTCTTCTTTACCTTGACTGTTAACGTCCTTGTACATGACCATTACAAACTGCTTGTCTAACCCCGATACGTTCAAGTTTGTTCCTTGTCCAATTCATTATGTATTACAATTGTTATATCAAAACGTAATTATATTGCACAATATACGGTTACAGAATTTTAAAACCGATACAAACCGGCTGTACTCAAAGGTTAATGCACTTTGAATTTAAGGAGGTTATTGTCATGTTCCAGTTTTAATTTTCGAACAGAATAAATATAAAAAAACGCTACAACATTGATATTATATTCATCAAACAAAAGACTAAAGGTACGTGTCCTTTGACCCGCGCCTTACGAACCGCACGCACAGCCCGCAACGGATTTTAGTTTGCTTTGTATGATTTTACATAGCGCTGCGTCCATCATCCGCGCCCATCATGCATCAAGACAAAACAAATAAATTACGCGCGTGCGGTGCATCTTGGGACATAACGCATATTAGATTTGGTAGAAGTAAGTGCAGGTCAATTTGTTGCATACTCTAAGAATTTGTCGTAGTCACCATGCTAGTATAACCTTATACAATGCTCTTGTCATCGCTGCGCTTGAATAATAAACTCAAGGTATTGTTAACTAAATTCTTTCCGTTTGGCTTATTCTCTTTACCTTGAACATACGTTATATTCTTTTTTCGCATTAACCTTATTCAATTCTGGTGTCGGGAATAGATTTGATATAAACTTACCGACCTAATAAAAGGTATTGTTAATTTTTCAATTGCTATATCAATGTATACAATTTTCCAGATACGAAAGGTGCGTTTCCTTGGTACGTGAAAGTGTATTGGGTACTGTACAACATCACCATTCCCGTTGCCTTCCTTATCACCGTCTTCTACTGGTCTATACTAAACACTGGTGAGTATTACTCAAACGCATCTATTGTACAACAATAGCCAGACTCGACCGTACTTTTGTAGCCTATTATGTCGTTGAAGTATACAAGCATTTAAACATTTAGGGGCTCTAACGCTAGAAATCTAAATTATTCATATCTAATTATTTAAATAAACAGATTAAAAAACTAAATGTATTGTTATATGTATTAAAAAATCTAGTGTTTATTTGTAAGTTTTAATAAGATGATACTTTCCTACGTTTTATAGCGTGTTGTTTGTTTCAGCTATAAAAAAGGTTAACTACGCACCGAACCCAACGCTCGACGTGATGCTACACGGTGTCAACAGCCTAGTAATGTTGGCAGAGCTGTTTCTGTCCGCACATCCCAGTCGACTTCTCCACGTCATGCAACCGCTCTACTTTGGCGTCGTATATCTGATATTCACCATTGTATACTACGATGCGGGAGGACTCGATCCGTAAGTTTATAATTTTCTCTTAGGAAAAACACTAGAGTCTGAGTAGTGTAGAGACTATTTTTAACTCAAGAACGGCTTTACCGATATGGCTGAAAATTGGTGAGGAGGTAGCTTAGAGCGAGGAGACGGACATAGGATACTATTTATTCATTTTTTTTCGAATTTATGTCTTGAAGAGCTGCTTTTTATTTAATTTACGAATATTATAAATGCGAATGTTTAGATGGATTTGATGTGGATGGATGGATTGATGGGTGTTTGAAGATATCTCTAGAACGACTGAACGGATCTCGATTAAATTTGGCATACGTATAGAACACATAGGCTACACTAATTAAGTTTTTATAAATATCCACGCGGACGGAGTCGCGGGCGACTGCTATATTTAAATAACTTTTATTATGGAATTAAGTATTCGGATTGCTTTATTTCATATAAAGTACATTACTTTTTATGATTCGTAAACATATACGCATAATTACTATTAAAATATAAATGAAAGATACGCTACATTTAAATAAGTCGACAGCCTTCATTATAATCGTAATTAACCTTAAATAAACGGAACATATTAACAATATAAATATTTTTGAATATTTATTAATCGACTTTTTTAATTATAAATACTTTTCTGGGGAAGTATCCGGGGCAACGACGGCCGCGAAGAACTCTAGTTATTTGAAAGCGACTATACCAAGGATACAATTATTATTAAACCAATTTAAAGTTTTATGTGTTCATCCTATTCAATCGATCAATATCTAAATAATTTCTTCCAGCGGTAAATTCATTAAGTGCATGTTGCAAATTGTTACAGGAAATCATAAATTTCTTGCTGCAGGCAATCACATGTTAGTAATGCTCTGATTTCATATTCAGGGACCTCACTGAAATACTGAAATAATAAAGTAGGCAATATACAAAGATAGGAGAAACTAATTTCAAAGTCTAAATAAACGTAAAGAGTATTTTTTTCAGTCTAAAATGCATAATACATAGTAGATGGAAATAGAAAAAACAAATGCTAAGTGAATAATATAATTATGTTAAACGTATTCAATTCATAACAGGATGGCGTAAATTATCACAATCCTCCTAATTATCCTCTAATTACTTAAATTGTATTAATACAAAAATAAATAAAAACAAAACCATCAATCTAGAGATCTTTAATTTTTCAAAGTTCTGATAATACATATATTCGTCTAAAACACTTGTTATTTTTTGAGGACTTTTGTAATTAAAACACCTAACTAAAGTTCTTTGCCCTCGTTAAATATATAAAATAGTGCACGCTTATCAAACAATGTCATTGTATTCGTGATCGTCAAACAAAAGCGAAGGTGTACGAACATCGGAGCGTGTTGCGCGTGCGCAGACCTTTGGCTGTGACACAAATATTGTTCTAAGAACGTGAGCTCACATAAATGGCATCTCAAGTTTGTATTTACTGTAAGTTATAAGTGTTTGTACCACTCGTCCTGATTTCGACTTGTAAATTAACCAAGAGGCGTCGTCGTAAATTGTTAAGAATTTGACGCTGTAAATAGCTTGCAGGTAATAAGGAACATATAAACGCTCAAAGAACGTACATGTTAAGCAACAAAGCCTACATCTATAGTATATACTAAAAAATGGTAAAAAACGAATATAAAAATCTTTACGCTCTCGAACCAGTCTTTGTACTATTAAAGTGTAACTTTAAAAAATAAAAAATACATGAAATCTTACGATAATATTAAGTACAACATATAAAAACCATTTTCTATGTCATCACCAATATTATATTAGACAAAACAACAAAGATTATTTGATAACCTTGCTTTGTTTTAGGCGACACATTCTCGAGTCAAGGTAATAAGTATAATCGGTTCGATCACCTGACATTGCCTGCGCCTGCGCATCCTCGCCCATACAACGTCGCATACTAAACAGTTAGCTCTCTGAACAAACGACTATCTTAAAGGTCGCTTACTTATTTAACTAATGACATCTGTTAACTGAGTCACTCGTTACTTTTTTCACTTCATACTATCAAAACAAAGAGGGTCTTGACAGACAGACGGACTGAAAACAAAGTGATCCTATAAGGGTTCCGTGTTTTTCCTTTCCTTTCCGTTTTTTCGTAAAAATTAAGGGCTTCGAAGATTTACGCTGCCTTTTGTACGAAGGGCTAAATATAAAAAAAAATTAAATTGACATAACAGAAAATTATTTATATTATAATTTCCTCACTCACTTCAGAGATAGTGGCTTTAAAACTAACATAGGATAAAAATTATGTTGCGATCGACAACCAGTTTCAACAGAAAATTCTCGTTATCTCGTCAGATATTATTAAATATATGTATTATAAATAATATTCACTGTTCAGCATATTTCCGTCATTTATTATGACCTTATTACTATGAAACTAATTGTATAAATTTAGTTTTGGATTATTTTACACTTAATATGAATTTAGATTTTCTTTTCCATGTAATTAAAAAAATAATTATGCACCATTTTGTTCGTAACTGTCGGAATTATGATTTAATAAATGATAATTTAAATTTTTACTGAACAAAATTTCTGGTTATAGTTATCAGCATTGAAAATATGAAAGATGTTTTTAAATCTTCTTCTTCTAGTGCCTCTTCAGTCATGAAGTTTGGCCGCCAACTTTGGTTCTGTCAAGTGCAAGGCGAAATAGATTCTTCGCTGACCTAATCCCCGTCCACTCCCTAATATTAAGTGGCCACGACTTTTTCCTACGTCCAGCGCGTCTCTTCAATCTTGACCATAATTATCAACTGAAGTAACTTATACCTGTCATGCCGCAGTACATGGCCCAAGTATTCCACTTTACGCTTTTTGACGGTCTACTGAATTTTCGGCTTATAGCCACACGCCGGAGCACCGTCTCGCTTCTAACTTTCTGCGTCCAGTTAATATTTTTAAATAGAAAAGCTTAATTGGCTATGTTTGATCATAACTGAAATGGTAGATTAGGAAATAATGCTTCGTAATGAAACAGAATAATAAAAGACATTAAAAAAAGTGTTGGTCTAGATGTAGGTGTCATGTCCATGGGCGTCGTTGAACACCTCGGTGTTCCCGCTGCTCGTTTGCCCCCTTCTGTTATAAAAAAAGGTTCATACAGTGATCACAAATCAACAAAGAAATGTTAGTAATGGCACTTTATTCTTTAACAATGCTCCTTATTGTAAGGGAAATAAAGTTTTGAATTGAACAAACATTATTTGAGCCTAATGTTGTACACTGTTAGACAAATTCTTGATATTTTTGTGTTCAATTCCATTAAATATTGATAAGAACAATATTGATGTACCTGTTATACTAACGATACGGCACATTATTAGTTGATTATTTAAAAATCAACATGTCTCGAAGCGGTTAACCTCGAATAATCTTAATGTCCATCTAAAAAATCTCACCGCGAACTTATAAATAAACAATTACCTGAACGAAACCTTTTTAATGCATCGTTATCTACAAAAACATTTCTTAAACATAATTCTGGTTTGTACTAAAATGATGTATGATATGTATAAGATTACTATACTATCTTACTAATATTATTAATGCGAACGTTTAGATGGATGGATGGATTGATGTTTGAAGGTATCTCCAGAACAGCACAACGGATCACGATGTAATTTGGCATGATTGTAAAACATAGCCTGGAAGAACACATAGACTACTTAAATCTATTTTTAATTCCAAGCTGACGGAGTCGCAAGCGACATCTAGCCGTTATAAACTCTAATGATATAGTAACCTAATATTGTAATTAAATTATTGTAACTTAGAATAGAATAACCTTATGTAAATAACACCTATATGTTTCTATTGTCTAAAACTCCTATTTAAAAATGTTATCACTACTACTATCTTTATTTGTTTTGTTGATAAATAATAATTTAAGGTTGACATTGAAATCATCGATTAGTAATAATGCTTGTATTTAGTGTCTGTTATCTTTTAACAAATCTGTTATTGTAAGACATGCTAGATGTTTCTATTGAATTTGAACAGCCATATAAGAAATAATATCTAGAAAAATATTTTCAAACGTATTCTAATTTAGTTTACTTTATTTTTCTATACCAGAAATATTAAAGATATTACTATTTCCTTTTTTTTCACTTTGTCCTCTTTAAAGCTAGTAATATTAATTATATTCATCGCATTTTCCAGTTGGGGTCACGTGTTCATCTATCCAGTCATCGACTGGTCCAAGCCGGAGCAGACGTTAGTTGTGGCCTCTCTCACGGGTCTCTTCCTCGTCCTCATGCACGTACTGACCGTTGGCGTGGCGACTTCGCGGGACATTATCGCCAGACGATGTCGCAGCACACCTAATGGATTATACAACGATGGATTCGAAGCTTAATATCGATTATAAAGATATATCGATGTGTGAAGCATCGAAATGTTATAAAGAATCGATAAAATGCATTAAGAAGCATATAATCAAATCGATTGAAAGTAGAAGATAAAGATCTTGCAAATCGGAAGTTCGGCGTATTTTGGACTGTATTTTATTTGACATTAATGTGTCGTGATTTATATTTGACTGATAAAATGAAAGCGGCACAAAGGACTTGTTTACTTAAAAAAAATTTGTGAAATGTCCCAGAGATAACCTTGGATTTAAATACATAACAACATGTTTACTGTTAATAAAATTGGTAATGAATAATTAAATAGTGTATGTATGCTTTAGTATATTACGTAGTTCAAAATAGAAATGTTATGTGTCGTTAAGAAACAGATATTTGTGTAAAGTTTGGTGAAATAAAGCAAACTGTGATGGTTGTCCTATATAAAAATAAATGATTACTTACGAATTTTATCTACCTACGCTGTTGCTACATATGCTTAGAAATAGGAAAAACTAGTAGCAGAAGTGCACTTTCTAGTAATAGCGCTTATCTCTTACCAAAGCACTGCTGAGTCTTTTAATAGCGACAACTGGTGTACTGACATTGTTCTTCAGTTTTATCTTCCCTATGTCCATTTCCACAATATCTAAATAAAGATCTAGAATTAGCTATGGTCGAAAAGAACCCAAAACGCTTTTTCCAAACAAAAGAAAAGTATAGTATACAAGATATCGTGTTTCTATATCTACAAACAAAATAGTGTTTCCCGTCGGCCTTTATATCAATGGACTCAATTGGAATATTTTTCTAATTCCTTGAACTTAATCGGTACAACAGAAATGCCAATCGGTAGGCAGATCTTCCTAATGTTAAACACCAAATAAAACATTGTTTTAGGAGGCTAATTCACGATGACAGCTACTTTTAAATAATTGCAAACTTATAACTTTATCACTGTGTAATCTAGCAAATGATAACACACAATACTATTTGCACAGTACTGACTCAATTTTATACAAGTTCAGTCAATACTCGCGTTCTTCAGTTTCGATAGTGATCGTTACAAATGGGTGTTAAAGATTATTTTAAATATCAACTACAATGGCAAATGTTTTTGTTGGAGCACGAAGATGTTTCCGATTTCTACTTGAGTCCATTCCAAAGAAACCGTTCAGCTGTACCCTTGCTTTTTGTAAGAGCGATTGTATGCCTGGGTTCTGTTGGAATATTAGTATCCTCAGTGATATATGATTTCATGCCATTTGGATATTGGCCTGTATTTTTAACACATTGGGGATTAATTTTGAACACAATTTCAGCCGTTTTCGCAGTTATTGTGTCCGCAAGAGCATATCTACGTGGACCGATAGGTAAGTTAGTTCTATTTTTTCGGCAGTACAACTCAACGTGGGTTTATGAAAATTTTGAGAAACATATCCGGGTTAATAGGCTTAATATTATTACGATGATTAGTTATTATTGAACACCATTCATAGGAGATTAGACGATAATACTCCTAAATTATCAAATAAAGATAACAATATAGCAGGCTTTATTGTTATATGATTACTGAGATAAATTAATGTTTCTCCTTACATACATCTTAATTTAAAAAGATTTCATTCTCATTGCAAATAGCACTTACACGAGTTTGTGATACATTGCTTTTCGAATGTTCTCCAGTTCGCAGGACTCAAAACATTAAGTAAAACACACGTTCGCAAACTTCCAATAAATTTGTAATAATAGTTGATTTCGTACCACTTGACTAAATAAATCTGTTTAAATTCTTATGACATTGATGATTTTTTTGAGGATAATAAATTTCCCTGAACAAATTTTACATGAAGAAGTTTTAACGATCGTGTTGAGGAAGGAAATACTTGAAGAGGCCACATGTGTAAGTGATGATCTTGACAAAAAAGGTCACATAATCTGTATTTGGTAACGGAGGAAGGAATAAAGGCGATTAGCATGTACCCTGCAATTGATCCATAAGGATCAAGAAATATATGGAAAGCGAATACGAGATGTGATTCCTACTTTACGAAAAATTCCCAATAAAGACATTTATTTGATAGCATGTCTGACTTCACTAAACACCTGGTCTATGGTAATAAATTTTATTTTCTTATTCCAGATGCAACATTTGGACTTCCGCGATACGTGAAAATGTACTGGGCTATGACTAACATAGCAACTGTTGTGGCATTTTTTATTACCATATTTTACTGGTCATTTCTAACTGGTGAAGGTAAGAATATTGTAAATACTCTTTGACATGCTTCATTTAATTTAA